TTACTCATTCCTGTATTTGTTATTCTGAAATTTTGTAGATTACATACAGTATGTAAGAGCATATCTGCAACGTCTCCATACAAATTGTCCACGGAACCATGACAGGCATCACACTGCTGAGCTTATCTTTTTAAAATGTTGCAGCTTTCCTCCCTAGGGACACTCTATGACATATGAAGGTGATGGTACTGGAAAACATTTGCTTAACTTCCCATGTGGTTTCAGGGCAAGGAAGAATTTGTGTCTCCCTTTCATACATTATAAACATGTTCCTATAAAGTATAAACCAGTAAATTTTTGAAATCCTTCCTACACCTGTGTCTGTGAAATCTGGCAGGGCCTTTGGTACAACACTTTCATTTCTTAATGTTAGCCAAATGGGAGACATGAAACTTTGGATCTCAGGAAGAGTAGCTCTGATTCAGATCCTGATCAAAGCGGAAAGACTCCAAAATCTTTGAGCCAAATCGGGTTGCTTTCCTAATTGCCAAAGCAAGTCTCTTATGATACTATCTGATGTACACCTGTGCTAGGAAATACTTTGTCAATTTAACTTTTGTAGGCATATAAAACAAACAACTCTTGAGAGGTGGAAGAATAGATGAACTCCCAGAGGCATTGCTGCATTTGAGATGGGCAACATCTGAGGTGATATGGAACAGATTCAAGCCCCCTTTCTGTCCACCACCATGCAAAGCGACACCAGGCACAAAAATGGCTGAAAGAAAAAGACCAACAGGAAGAGGCCCTCTCAGGTTGGGGATGGGTGGAGGGGGGGGAGTCTTGCTCCCCAGGTCCAGGAGCAGAAAACTGCATTCTTAGGCTGTTGCTTTGGCCAAAATAGGTCATCTTCGGTGAAATAAATGAATAATAATTTCCTTCGAGAGCTCGGAGGAATCCCTGGGTCCACAAAAATGCCACCCTGAGGTTGCATGCAGTCTGCGGGCCACATTTTGCTCACCCCTCCTATAACAAGTCAGCAAAACTTGTTTCTCATTCCACTTGCTAAGTTTCAAGCATCTGTTGTAAGAGTGCAATATAATCTGCAGTTGTTCCTTTGGAATGTGTAAGCAAATTCATATGTATTGAGTCTCACTAATGCAGTTGTTCAGCTAAATTCTTAAATATTCAATGTAACACACAATGGGCTCATGAAGTGTGTAGTCTTCAAATGCTTCTCCGTCTATACTGGCTGCCAACAAATGGTACAGTAAAATCTTGATACGCAGTTTTTAATGTTTTAAACATATATATCTCTTTCAGGCACATGTTATTTCTTTTCACCTTTTCACAAACCTGTGAGGTAGTTCAAAGTCACAAAGGGTCCCATAGTCACTCACAGTGAGTTTTCTGTCTGGGTCTCGCAAGTCTTGATCTAGCACTCAGCAACTGCACTACAGTGACTTTTTAATGAGTATAATAACGCATGCTTTAAAATTACTACTTGAATGGTTACCTACGGTGAGTTGAAATTTCCTTCAAGTGACCAAGCAGAAGCTTGTGCATAAGTGAGCTGGTGTGTTTTTGTGTTTTTGTTTGTTTTAGAAAGAACTTAGGTGGAATTGCTTACAAAACTAATATTGTCATGCCATGATGATTTTTTCCTCATTTCTAACCCTGTCATCATTCAAATCTTTAAACATGAAGAAATGATTACTGCTCATTTTGGAAGAACTTTGGAGGTAGCTGACACTCTTATAACTCAAGCCAGTGTAGTGGCAGTAAAATTGCCAACAGACTTCACAGAAGTGTGCCTTATGGGAGGGTCACAATTGAGGGCAGAGGTGTGTTTATTTGTGGTTTTTGGACAACTACAGCAATTTCACAGACAATTCAGGGCGATTTTGTGAGTTGTGGACAAGTATGCTTGGCTCTAGTAGAGAGCTTATTGTATGGTGGTAGTGAGGAAGAAGTGACGTAATAACCTACAGTAATTGTATTTGAGAGCCAAAGTATTATAATGTTTTAGGGTCTTGAATGGAGGCCTAGCTTCAGCTCTCTACTTGGCTTTTGAAGAGCAATGTACTTTCTGCGATAATTAGCCACTTAACTCCTTTCCAGCCCATCCTACTTGACAGTTTTTTTTTGGGAAGGTGAAAGGAAGGAGGAGGAACAACATATTTCTCCTCAAGGTCAGTTTGCAACATAGAAAGTGGCCCTGCTGGCCCTGGAATTCTGTCAATTTATGTCCAAAAAAGTATCTTTTTCAAGTTCTTTTCCTGACAGAGCTCCCCTCTCAGCCTCATTCCTAAAGTCTAGGAGAGAGAGGAATGCCCTATCATTGAAGATAGTGAGTACTCCCCTGCATGCTGTCCCCTGAATAGGGAAGAACAGGAAATGTCAGTGATCAGATAATATAACAGCGATTCTGTTTGAGTGCAGTCCCACGTGCAAAAACAGCTACTGTGCAAAGCTTGGCATGCAGGAGCAAACGAAGCGTGCATCCACCCAGCCTTGCTTCTTCCCCCTGTGGAAGAGGACGTGCCAGCCATGTACTTAGCTTGCTCCTGCGAACACCAGCTGGCTGCTTCCTCCTTTGCCTTCCTGCTCTCCCTCCTCTCAACTTTATTCCCACTGATCATTTCCCTGCTCCTGAGCCAGATAATAAATCCTACCTTCGGAAAGGCCTCCCTTTCAAATTCCCAGTATTCCTTCCAATATGATATTTCATATGTCCACAGTTATTTTTTTAATGATTCCATATAAAACACAAATGTGTAACATTGCACTTTCTTGGTGGCCAACATGTTATTAATTTTTAATTTTTCTTCGAAGAGCTGTCCCTTCAGAATGTCTTGTTACTACTAGATAGAGATATCTAGAGTTGTTTTCTGCAGATTTTATCTTTTTTTAAAATTCCTCCATCTCAGGGTGGGAATTTACATGCTTCTTACCTCCAGTGGTTACATCCTACATTTGAGATCCTGAATTCAGCAGGCGGTTAGACTGAGTGACCTCCAAGGGAACTGTCACCAGGCAGAGCAGAATCATAACTTGAAAGGGAACATGCTGTGGAAATTTTGTCTTTTCTTAACTTTTAGTACACAACTGGTACGAGATTGTGGTTAACTAATCAGATGATGTCTGGTGTGCAGTCTCAAGTGACCTGATACGGCTTGTATTTCTCAACACTTGAAATTACACTAAAAGTATGTTGAGAATGCTCTTCCATCAAAGCCACCACTGAACCTACGTTTTGTTCCTAAATACTCAGACAGTTGAGTATTCTGTACTCAAAACTCTTTGGAAACACTTCAAATAGCGTGCATAAAGTTGCGTGTTAAAAGGAAAAGGCTGGGGGGAAGTTTGTCTAGCAATGGAAAAACAAACCCACTGTGGCTTACATTTCGTAATGGATAGAAATCAGCAGTCTTTTGTGAACTCTTAACAGGGTCTTCCTTTTCCTGCACTGATGAAGGCAGATAAGTTATTACAACAGGTGAATTGTTAGCAGATAATGAGTGCCTGGTGTGGATACACATTGTAGTTCTCTTTTGCAAAAGCCTAGATTTTGCCACCAAAAAAAAAAATCCTTTGGCGAGCAAATGAAGTCACTTCATAAGGCATTTGCTTCCTGGGAGTAAAGAAATAAAGTGGTTCTGGATTGCACATTTATGTGTTCCAGATTATTCCATACTTTTTGGACAAAACTACTAGCTCCTTGCTAAAGGTGGTGAAAAGCTATAGTTGCACAGAAAACAGCTGGGGTGCAGAAGACTTGAAGGTATGCTCTCCCCTTTTTCAGTTGCACAACAGAATACTGGCCTTGTAATGTACCTCTTGCTGTCTCTTCCTCACAAATGATAATGTCATAAATATATTTCAGTCTTTAGTATTTGTAAATGAAGGTGACTGTGGGGAATGTGCACAACTGGCTTCTATCAGGTCACAGTGCAATAAGCGTAGAAGAGGAGATGGTGGTTTGTGTGGTTTGCTCCAACTGATAAACCAAGTAAGCACAACAGAGGGAGGGGGGATAGCTTTAAAGTAAATGAGAAATGAGAACCAGTAGAGAAATGAGTCTGTTATTCTACAGCTGTCCTTAGTGGTATGTTATCACTAAAGAAAAGAGAACCCATTCATTAGAGAGAGGCTGTAATTAGAACTGAAAGCACATTAATATTGCAAAGAAGTGATTGAGGCTATCTCTAACATCTCTTTCTGACTTCAGTCTAGGCTTTGGGAAGAATGGAAGGTTCTGTTGTCAATCTTGAGGGCAGGCAGAAAGAACATGGGAAATTTTAGAGGCAGGTTTTCTTCTACACAGCCCCAATTGCATTTTATTCCTTGTTGTAGTTCCATTTGCTTCTAGTTAGGCCAGTGCTTGGCTTTCCTATTTCTCTAATTTCCCAAAACCAGTTCCCAGATTGATTGATTGATTGATTGATTGATTGATTGATTGATTGATTGATTGATAAAAGTATAATAATAGCTGCTATGAGTCATGTGGAAAGTGGGATCAAAGGGCTGAGGAGGTAACTATCTTCTCTCTCTGTTTCTGTCTCTGTTAAATACACATACAAAAACACAGATGGACACCATGATTCTGATTGACAGTACCTCTTCTGTGTGCATATACATCACCAGCAGACGGGGTGGTTTTTCCACATTTGCACCTTTCCCAAATACATAGAAACATGTCCCCTGTGCCTACACTTTTAAAATATGGCAGTTAATAGCTTTTAGACACTTAGCCATCGACATTTGCTCTTCATTTTCCACTGCAACTAAGTGGAAACCCCACCTCATGCATGTAAAGTTCCTGCTGCAACCAGAACCAAATGAGCAGCCACACTAATTGCAGGTTCGCAGCACCAACACAGCACTTCGCAACCATGTACCTGTTCAGCTTAGAGGGAGTGTTGCCTACCATCTTACTACTTTGTTGCAAAGTCTGCTAAAAACATTTGTTGATTTGATGCCGATGTTCTAATGTCCAGCTGGTTCTTGAGTGACTGGGAAAACTGAATTGTTTGTCTCTTCTCTTTTTCCCTCCTTAGGGGTCATGAGTATTTAGTAGACTTGAACACGCTGACGTTTTACGATACAACAGAATTTGACCAGTTAAGAAGGCTGTCGACACCTTTGTGTACAAGTGCCAATTCCAACTACTACACCATTTGGAAATATTTCTGCAGGGATTACTTCGGCTGGAGGGAATATTCAGAGGTATTACTTTGTGAACCATTGTTTGTGGGGGTTGGATGTAAGAATTCCCTGCCTTGCTATTGGGGCCACTTTGTGGTCTTGATCTGTTGACTGGTTTGCTAAATCTTGCAAGGTGATTTAAAAAATAAGTGAAGAAGGTTAAGTAGTATATACACCGAAAAGTGCTGTTTAAAAGCCAGTAAGTTCTGTAATAAATGGCAGGTGCATGAAGGAATTGCGTTCTCTTCTTTCTTGACCATAATAAAATCAATAAAATGACAACTGTAGATGTACACCAGAGGCGCCGAAAAGTGCTGTTTAAAAGTAAGTTCTGTAATAAATGGCAGGTGCATGAAGGAATTGCGTTCTCTTCTTTCTTGACCATAATAAAATCAATAAAATGACAACTGTAGATGTACACCAGAGGCTTTCAATCAAAGATTTGGCTTATTATCTCAAACTGATCTAAAATCAGTATATTGACATATCTCCTTACATGTCACATAGCCTTGTGGTGCAGTGGTTAAACTGGAGTACTGCAGTCAAGACTCTGCTCATGATCAGAGTTCGAACTTGACTTGATGGGGTAGCCGGCTCAAGGTTGACTCAACCTTCCATCCTTCTGAGATTGGTAAATTAAGTACCCAGTTCACTTGGGATGTGGGTGGGTGGGGCAATTTGTAGTCTGCACAATTAAATTGTAAACTGCCCAGGGAGTGCTATCGGGTGGTAGATAAGCAGCACACTTGGCTTTACTTATCTCCATCCATTTCTCTTTTCCCTTTGCCTGTTGGATTTTTGCTTACAGGTTTCTGCTTGTTCCTCTCACTGCTTTCCTGTCCTGCTACCTTTGGTCCTAGACCTTCTCAGCTCTTTGTGGTTTTCTTTCTTTCTTTCTTTCTTTCTTTCTTTCTTTCTTTCTTTCTTTCTTCTTTTTCTTCTTCTATTAAGTTAGCTTCAAAGTAAATTCTTGAACATTGGAGAAATGGGTCTTTGCACAACCATTCTTTGATGGTTGTCTAAGAAATACCAGAGCTAAGCATCTGCTTTTTATGAACGATCTGAGTATATAATCAGTTTTTCTTATTCCTGTGGACATTCATTTGAGGAAGGAATAGTTTTGAATCATATTCTTGAAGGATTAAATGTAACAATACAGATCTTAAATTCTTGAACATTGGAGAAATGGGTCTTTGCACAACCATTCTTTGATGGTTGTCTAAGAAATACCAGAGCTAAGCATCTGCTTTTTATGAACGATCTGAGTATATAATCAGTTTTTCTTATTCCTGTGGACATTCATTTGAGGAAGGAATAGTTTTGAATCATATTCTTGAAGGATTAAATGTAACAATACAGATCTTTACTTATTATTCGAACTTGATGGACTCAGGTAGCCGGCTCAAGGTTGACTCAACCTTCCATCCTTCTGAGATTGGTAAATTAAGTACCCAGTTCACTTGGGATGTGGGTGGGTGGGGCAATACATAACTAAGCTGTAAACTGCCCAGAGAGAGCTTTAAGCACTATGGGTGATATATAAGCAGCACACTTTGCTTTACTTTAGTAGTAGAAAGAATCTTCTGAGATTGGTAAATTAAGTGCCCAGCTCACTTGGGATGTGGGTGGGTGGGGCAATTTGTAGTCTGCACAATTAAATTGTAAACTGCCCAGGGAGTGCTATCGGGTGGTAGATAAGCAGCACACTTGGCTTTACTTATCTCCATCCATTTCTCTTTTCCCTTTGCCTGTTGGATTTTTGCTTACAGGTTTCTGCTTGTTCCTCTCACTGCTTTCCTGTCCTGCTACCTTTGGTCCTAGACCTTCTCAGCTCTTTGTGGTTTTCTTTCTTTCTTTCTTTCTTTCTTTCTTTCTTTCTTTCTTTCTTTCTTCTTTTTCTTCTTCTATTAAGTTAGCTTCAAAGTAAATTCTTGAACATTGGAGAAATGGGTCTTTGCACAACCATTCTTTGATGGTTGTCTAAGAAATACCAGAGCTAAGCATCTGCTTTTTATGAACGATCTGAGTATATAATCAGTTTTTCTTATTCCTGTGGACATTCATTTGAGAAAGGAATAGTTTTGAATCATATTCTTGAAGGATTAAATGTAACAATACAGATCTTTACTTATTATTTTTATTTATTTGTATTATTCATATTTAATTAGCATCAATATCTGGGAAAAAATGCTTGATCATAATGTATCTTAGCTTTGATTAAATGGGTTGTGCATTTTTCCTCTTTTTATAACAGCCTGTTGTACGATTGATAGAAGAAGCTAACTGCCGAGGGCTTACAGAGGTTCGGTTTGTTACGTGGCACAACCGCTACATTTTGAACATTAAAGATGGCTTCCAGCAAAATGCAAGTGTTCGAAGAGAAATCAAGAAAAGACCTCTTTTCCGTTCCTCTGTGATCCTCATGCCGTACTTGCAGTAAGTAAGGAGTCCATCTGCATATGATATGGGGTTCTTAATAACATTTACAAGATTAACACCAATCCTCTTCCTCAGCTTCATACAAGTTAGTTAAGCGACTTTATTAGATACTCTTGGTATGTCCACATGTCAGGAAATTACGGGACAAATCTAATCATCATCATCATCATCCCTCCATGGATGCAGGCCTTATTGAGGCAGAGGGGCTTCCTCCATGGACGCAGGCCTTGTTGAGGCAGAGGGGCTTATGTGCTTCAATGAGATTGAGAACTATGCTAGCAGTTGTGTTGCTATCAGAAGGGTTCTCAAGCCAGACAGGTCTCAGCTGAGAAGACTGTGCTAGCAGTTGTGTTGCTACCAGAAGGGTTCTCAAGCCAGATAGGTCTCAGCTGAGAAGCCGTGTCTACCAACCATCAATTATGATGAAAGGAATAGAAATCCATGAGTTGTTGCCCAGGTCAGCAAAGACCCACATCAAATGCTGTAGCCTCTGGACATCTGGTGACATATGGGCTACAGGGCTCAGCAGACCCTGTTGAGGAACCAGGACATGCTGGTGCAAAGCTGCTAGAAAAATGTAAACACAAAACTTGGAAATTGAGAAATTATATTTGAAAATTGAGAAATTATTATATTTAACAGATATTTAGGTTTTTGATTAAAGCTTTTATATAATACCAGTCAATGTTTTTATAATTTTGATTGACTGTGCTGGTTATTTTTTAATAATAACCTTACCACTGCAGAGTGGTAGGTGGGGCTCGTCAGCCATGGAGAAGGAAAACTCCGATTTCAAACCTCCACTGCCTTGTGGCTATATCCACTCATGGAAAAGGCTTCAGGAGTTAACCTCGAGGCAAAATCCGGAGCTGGAGTCCCGAAGGCAGCTCATGTCATTCTGCCAACTCCTGCGACATTGCTGGAACCAGTTGTATTGGCTCTTGCCTTTCCATTGGACCATTTCAGCAATGTGGAGAGGGGGGATCTGCTGCTTGGGTAACAGCCTATCCTCCATATTACCTTACCCGGGCTTCATGCTCTGGAGAGGACACTCCTCGATTCAGAGCATGTTACCATAGTCTCTCGAGACTGAAGGATGCCTATGCAGAGATGGAAGGGACCCTATGGATCATCAAGTCCAGCCCTTGTCAAGGAGGCACAGTGGGGAATTGAGCTCACAATCTCTGGCTTCACAGCCAGAGATTTAAACCACTGAGCTAGCAAGCATATTTGTCCCAAGTAGAGTAGACCCGCTGGAATGAAAAGAACTTATTGGTCACAAGTAATATAGCTTCCATTTCTTTTTGTCTGACCTGGTCTTTGAATTACTCATAACTAGCTTTCCACATTGATGTCATGTAGCAGACGTGCTTCTAACTTGTCAGGGTCCAACTGTCTCTGTTGGGGGGAGTGTGTGTGTATGACCTTTGTGAGAATAAATTGATAGCTGGACTGAAGTTCACTGTTGTCCCTATGAGTCAAGTGTACTCCAGCATCAGTAAAGGCTTATAGATCTTAAATGTGATTCCTTGTGAGGAAATGTTCCATGTACTGAGCATGGGCTGCCACTTCACAAGATGAAATCCTCCCTTTTTTTAGGGCATTCTTCCTCTTTGTGGGGAATGGAAGTGCCAGAACTATTCCCCACCTGTAGCTGGTTTTAGATGTGGCAAAAATAACTTGGACACGATCACTGTTGTTTTGAACTACAATTCTTGGAATGTGGCTGGGGAATTCTTGGAGTTGCAGTCCAAAAAGCAATCTTTCACAGCTCTAGGCCTGTCCAGCATATAAAAAGAGAGTAAAAGCATCAGGGTCTACCGTGTTGTTGTTCATACTGTGACCGTAGAACAGTCCCTTGTGTTTTTTGTATCTGTGGAATTATATTGAGACTTGCCCTTATTTTGCCTGCAGTCTATTTTTAATTTTGTTTTCAAGAACTTTTATGATTAAAAAAAATACAGACACTTAAGGTAGAATTGCTGTTTGTGGTCTAGGCATATAATGATGCTGTAAATAAATCCTCCCTTTAAAAGTACATATCCAAATTAATACTGATTTTTTTCTTCTTCTTTTCCTCTATCCTATTCTTCCCCCATGCTAGGACTCTGGGTGGCAGCCCAATGATAACACCAATAGCCGAGTGCATCTCTTCCCATGTCGTATCCCCAGCTGCTGTTACCTCTGCAAACTTCTATCCTGAAACTTGGATTAACATGGATCCATCTCAGGACTTCATTCAAGTGCCTGTTTCAAAAGAAGACAAAAGCTACAGAACCATTTATAATCTTTTTCATAAGACTGTGCCAGAGACCAAATACAGAATTTCAAAAATATTGCGAGTTCAGAACCAGTTTCTATGGGAGAAATACAAGAGGTGAGCCAATGTTTTAGAAGTAGCGTCTTTCTTAGCTGGGTCGTTTCCCTTTCTGGGGGGAAGGGGTGCTGATGGGACCCACCTGGGAAAAATATTATTACTTGCAGCAAGGTTTTAAGGTTCAGGAAATCCTGTGAAAATTAGGTGGCTGTAGCACCAAGTTGTGTATGTAATCTGTACTACCATTAGTTCAAAGATGGTGAATCTTTGACCCACTGGCTGGAAAAGCAGAAGAGAAATGCTATAAAGGGAGAAGTGGTTGTGTTAACCCCACCCACCACCATTTGGCCCTCAACAATTATCTTCTCTGCAATACAACCTTAATAGGAAAAAGTTCTTCATCCTTATCTAAACTTTCCAGAGAACTAGAGATTTTGTTGTTTTTTGAACATGTTTTGTAAGACAAGGTGTTTCTCGATGGGGATGGGAGTAATTCCAGACTCTTGAGACCCCATTAAGTGAAATCTGTGCTAATGTCTTGCTTTTAAGTTGCAATGAGCTGGTTTAAGGTCTAAAAGCCTTGTGTTGTTTTTCCTTCCAGAAAAAAGGAATACATGTCTAAAAAAATGACGGGACTTGACAGGATCATGAACGAGAGACATTTATTCCATGGGACGTCCCAGGATGTGGTTGATGGTATTTGTAAGCACAATTTTGACCCCCGGGTGTGTGGGAAGCATGCCACCATGTTTGGGCAAGGCAGTTACTTTGCCCGGAAAGCAAGCTACTCACATAACTTCTCCAAGCGGTCGCCCAAAGGGATTCATTACATGTTTCTGGCAAAAGTCCTGACAGGAAGATACACCGTAGGCAATCACACAATGAGGAGACCTCCACCTGTCAATCCTGCCAGCATCACCAGTGACCTGTATGACTCTTGCGTGGACAACTTTTTTGAGCCTCAGATCTTTGTCATTTTTAATGACGACCAGAGCTACCCCTATTTTGTTATCCAGTATGAAGAAGTTAGTAACACTGTCGTGATCTGAAAAAGAATATATATAATATATATATTTCATGTTGATAAGTTATTGTTGTAACAAACTTTAACCTAGTATTTGTAGAATGGACCCCTTTTGTTGGGGACAGAAAAGGAAAACAGTGGTGGAGCTTTTAATAGGTAAAGGTTTGAGCAGGGATAGGGTGGGGAAAATAAACATTTTTTAAAAACTCTTGACAAGACCAATTGTGCACTTGCTCTTTTCTGTGCAAACTGTAAATATTTTTCCATTGTTTATAGTCGAGATAAAAAAACCTGTGCCTTTTGTTATAAACACTATTTATGTTAGTAAACTTAATGTTTTAAGAAAAAAAAATAGACATGTGGTCTAATGTTGTCTTCAGTGTAATTTGGTTTGACTGAATGCTGGTGTTGCCACCTTCTTAGGAGCTCCTGCTCTTGTCCTTGAGCAGAAGCTTGATCTATGCCACCTACAACGCAGAATTGTGTGTGCTGCTTGTAAGCAAATTAATTTGTGGTTCAAGGCAGAGGAGCATCCCAAACTGTTGTACTCTGGGCGAGGGCAGCTTCAGATGTTGAATTTAGAGAGCGCCTGTCAGTATTTGCTTCCTTGAGGTCTGGCTGCCACTTCTTCTATCTTCCTCTTCCTAAGATGCAGATTTTCAAATCCAAATTGAGTTGTGGCAGCAGGAGTGGCCATAACACTTGCCATATATGACACTCTGCTGGCAGCTCATCCTAGTGTAAATTGGTCCAGCTGTATAATAGAAGGAAGAAGGTGGGGAACACTGTTCTTGTGTTCTCTGGTTCATATAAAAACACTGATAACAGAAAGGGGAGGAAGCTAATTTTCTAAACACTCTGCTTTCCTTTGTGTATGCTGCTCATACTCAATGCAGTGTTAGATGTGTGTAAACAGTACAGCTGATGAGTTAAAGAAAACAAAATCCCAAAAGAGGAAATCCACGATCCATTTATACTTGAATTAGTGATTTTCCGAACCCCATCCCCCAGACTTGAAAGTCCCATTCAGATCAAGTGGGAGAACTGTTTATGATCTGTAGAGCCCAGAAATGAGCAAGTTAAAGTGGAGAAAATACTGCAGGGCATAATTTAACTGCATATCTTAAGGGGAGTATTCTTGAACACTTTTCAGGAGTAGAACCAGAGCTTGGAAAGTTACTTTTGCTTTTAAAATGAAAGTAGTTGCTATTATAGGTACAAGATTCTGCCAAATTTAACATTATAGTTAGGTTTTTAAAAAGGAAGTCTTTTCATTCCCATTTTTCAAAAGTAAGTAGAACAGTGACTTTTTCATTACTTTATAAAGTTTTGAATGCTTTTCTGTGATAGAAAAGAGGCTCTGTTCCTGTTTGTCTCATAGTTGCCTCTACATTCACAAATATGCTAACAGCAGCATAAGGCAGTACTTGAAGCAGATCTGCCTCTTATAGTGAGTCAACTTCCACATAAACTATAAAAATAACTGAAAATTAAAGTTACACTGAAAGGAGTGAAGATATGCTTCATTGAGTTATCATAATGTAACTTAGCTATACCTTCATTACTACACAATAATTACAAATATTTATTAGTAACTAGTTACTTCGAGTTCACTTGGAGTTCATGGTTAGCAGTAGCAATCTCACCTAACTCATTGGGTTGTGAAGCTAGCATGGCTGTGTGTGAGACCCATTATTTATTTATTTATTTATTGGATTTATATACCGCCCCATAGCGCTACAAGCACTCTCCGGGCGGTTTACAATTTTTTTTAATTATACAGGCTACACATTGCCCCCCCAGTAAGCTGGGTACTCATTTTACCAACCTCGGAAGGATGGAAGGCTGAGTCAACCTTGAGCTGGCTACCTGGGATTTGAACCCCAGGTCGTGAGCACAGTTTTAGCTGCAGTACAGCATTTTAACCACTGCGCCACGAGGCTCCTAATGTCTACTGTACATCATGCTGAGTTTCCTGGAAAAGAAACAGCAATACCATCTGTCACGTTCATAATCTTATCACCCACATGGTGCTTAAAAAAGAGAATAGGAAATAAAGCCTGTAAATCGTTGCCACATCAGTCTTCTCCTTAAGTCTATGATGTTAGCAGTCCATCACATCCTTGCTTGTTATCTGTCTGGCCCAACCAAACATGGGAGCAATTCTTAGTCATTGCTCTTGCCTTTCGTGATCTCTTAGGAGAATTGGTTCCCAACTTTGGGTCCCCAGACATTCTTGGATTACTAATCCCAGAAATCCTGACCAGCACAGCTAGTGGTGAAGGCTTCTGGGAGTTTTAGTTCAAGAATATCTGGGGACCCAAAGTTGGGAACTATTGTGTTAAGAGTGTGTTGAAGCAATGCCAGCTTAGTTGCACAACTAGGCCATTCTAGTCATGCTTGAATCATGAGCATGAGTAGGATGGTGGAGGTAGGATGGATCATTCACATTTCTGTGGGCTTTAGCACAAGAGTACTTCATGTCAACCATATCACGTCTTGGTCTCAACAGAAGGAATCTTGAAACACATTGAAACTTCCCTGTTGTCAGTATCGCTTTCTCTTGAGACTTCAGGGCCAAAATCTGAGATAAAGGGAGAGCCTTGTGATGTCAGCAGTGTTCAAGACTTTGTAATTTTGTAAGGGATAGACCTTTTTGTACCACCTGCAAAATATATATGCATCCGCATGAGGGGAAGGGCAGGACAATGTGGATTTCCTGCAAAACAAATATTACAGACAATATATAGATGGCTAGATGTCTTAAGTCCTATATAAGCTATACAGAGCTGATAAATAATGTAGCCAAAAATAGGGAGGGGACTGGTTAAGACAGGTGCAATAACAAAGTAAATACTTAATACAAAAAAAGCAAAAGCGTGCTGCTTATATACCACACTACAGCACTTAAAGCACTTTCTGGGTGGTTCACAGTTTAATTAGGCACACTAAACATTGCCCACCCCCCAGCAAACTAGGTATGTATTCAGTTTAACAACCTCAGAAGGATGAAAGGCTGAGTGAACTTTAAGCCAGCTAGCTGGAATTGAACCTGGGTCGTGTGTAGAGTTTTGGCTGAAGTACAGAAATTTAATCACTGTGCCACAGGGCTCCTCTTATGAAGATGTAACAATGTACATGTCTGTATTACATACACCATAATTACATTACAAAATTTGGAAGGTATCCACTGTGGACATATCTTGGCCTTTAAGATCTTGTTCAGTGGTTACACAGAAAAGGATAGCCAAAGTCTGCAATTTAATTGCAAAAATCAAAGTTATACTCACACAATATTTCCCCAAGCAAGCAGCATAGCTTGCAGGATTTATCAGTCTCATCTTTTGAGGAACAACCCAGTGAAGAGCTGGGCCGCATGCCTCTGTTGATCGCACAGCTCGGCACACAGCAAGGCTGGTAAATATTTTGCTGCCTGAGATCGAAAATCAAAAGGCACTCCCCACACACTCAAGTCAAGATACTCAGTACGTAAAGTCAGCCACATAACTTCTGGGGAGACTGACAAAACAAAGCAAGCCCCTCCCCCCATCATACACACATGCAAGTACCTCTCCCACCTCATTTCCTCATAATAGGGCTGGCCCTGGCTGAAAGGGAATGTATATGTTCCAGCCCAGCACATTGCTTCCACTCTCACTGGACTGGGAACTGTTATTACAAAGCTGTATATTACTAAAGGACAGTTGGGGGGGGGATGGCATTGGAAAGGAGAGGTGAGCAAGGCAGGCAAAAAACAAAATTGGAAATGGATCACATTCACCACCGTTCGTTCGTTCGTTTAGTCGTGTCCGACTTTTTGTGACCCCATGGACCAGAGCACGCCAGGCCCTGGACAGCTGGGGGGGGATGGCATTGGAAAGGAGAGGTGAGCAAGGCAGGCAAAAAACAAAATTGGAAATGGATCACATTCACCACCGTTCGTTCGTTCGTTTAGTCGTGTCCGACTTTTTGTGACCCCATGGACCAGAGCACGCCAGGCCCTCCTATCTTCCACTGCCTCCCGGAGTTGTGTCAAATTCATGTTGGTAGCTTCGCAGACACTGTCCAGCCATCTCATCCTGGGTCGTCCCCTTCTCCTCTTGCCTTCGCACTTTCCTAACATCAAGGTTACATTCACCATCACCCTTTCTCTAATCTCTACACAGCCAAATATTTCAATAAAGCTCACCAACAGACCATTCCCTGCATTTCTCTCAGCCAATCAGAACCATTCTTACTAATCCATAGGGTCTCTTCCAGCTCTGCAGTTCTATGATGATGATGATGACGACGATGATGATATTCCATGCTCCTCAGTTGCCCCCTCCCACCCCATACCAAACCATAAACAATACACTGAAACATAACTAGGCATCACAAAGTGCATTACATTTGTATTTTATAAAGACAAGCCTCTGGATCTTCTTGGCTTAAGAGACGCATGCATTGATGCACAACCACAGAAGGGGCCACTGACTGGAGCAAATTCTCGGTCCCTTTCAAGGACATGCAGATTGCTCACCTTCCTCACATTACCTATCACCCTTCCCCCCCCCAAAAAAAATCATACTATTAGTTTCAATTGTATATCTCCTCCCATCCCATAGCAATAAAAGTGCTATCCAGTCAATTCTGACTGATGCTTAATGGTTACTGCGACATCTTGCTGCTGTTAATGAGTTTCTCACCAGCACTTTATCTAACAATTGCACTAGTTCCTCAATATTGGGGAAATTGGTTTATAATGACTTTTCCGAGAACAGCACCAGGCCTGCGGGTAGTACACGGCACAGAACACCTGGTTTTTATTTTATTGCTTCCCTTTCTGATTCATTTCACCGTTTGGGGCTTTACCCCAATAGCAGGCCTCCATTTCCTTACTGCGGAAAACACATTGTGTGATAGATGGATAAACTGCCTCCTGTAACAAAGCTTATCTTCATTTCCTGCACACAAAGGAGAACACTGTACACACCTCGGAAAGAGAACGCTTTCTGTGCAAGAAGCAGCTATTTCTCAGCCTCCAGAGGATGTGATTTTTGCCCCAGCTAGAGATGGGGAGTAACAGTTCTTTGGTGTGGAAAATATTTCTTGTAAGAAAGGTTTAAGGTAAAACTTAATGAGCTGGGCTGTTTTTTTCTTTTGTTATTTAAACAACCCCTTTTAAACCGAACAAGCAATAGATTGCCACTTGTACCTAATGTCCAACCTTTACAAAAGCACCAGAGTCTGGTGTAGCCTTAACTTCCAGGTATAGTGGAGTGGAGCCAGAGCTTATGGGGTCAAAGCCCTGGGA